CCTCCCCCTGCAGCGCCTGCGGCAGCGGCTGCGGCTGCGGACACCGCGTCCGCTCCGGCAACGCTGCCGGGAGACCCGACCGCCCCGACCTTCGTTACCGCCGCCGCCGCCGCCGCCGCTCCTCCGAGCGAGGAAGCGCCTGCACCGGCGCCGCCGCCGGTTGATCCTGCCCCCGTTCCCGGTCCCCACCGCTGCTGCTGCTGCTGCTGCTGCTGCTGGCTCGCCGCGGCCGGATCGTTGTTGCCGTTGGGGTTTCCGATGGCGGCGGCGGAGGCGGCGGCGGTGCGATCGGGGGTGGCGGACGCCGACGATGATGTCGGCGTTGTCGAGCTCGAGCCGGGTTGTTCCGCCCACACGCCTCGCGGCGATGCGGTGTAGGGGCTTTGCGGCGGCGTGTACTGCAGCTGTGGCGAGTGCTGGAAGCCGGGGGGAAAACAAGAGGGACAGAACAGAACAAGGAACCGTTTGGTGAGGCATGTACCGATTCTGCTTTTTGACAATTCAAAGGCTGAATGTAACGAGTGACTACACGAAAGAGAGCAGGTTTGAGGTGGGTAAAACAGATGGGAGCGGGGATGATTGAAGGCGAAGGGGGTAGCGTGTACTCATGTAAACGCATGCCGTAGTCGTTAGATCATTGACCTCGCATCCACCATAAGGATGGGGGGGGCAGAAACGCCTCTTCCGATGTTCATGTTCCTGGTAACACCCGCCAATCGCGCAACCCAGCGGTCAAGAACGTTTCCCAAAATGGAGCCTGCGGATCAGCAGCTACAATCAACACACACACACACGCCCTGGCCCAACGGCTGGGAAGCAACTACAGTATGGCAAACGCACACCATGCCGCCAAAAAGGGGGGCGGGAGTACCACCCGTTCAATGTTCATTGTTCGAACGCCACACCAGAGGTCTGAACAACCAGTAAGTGACGGAGTAGCAATATGCATCGGAGAACAACGAAAAAAAAAAACTGAATCAAAATTGCCGGCACGTTACACAATCGTACACATACAAGGCGCGCCTGCGGAGTGGGCTCATGAGAGCGTAGTAAGCGTGTCATCCAGGCGTCATGCAAGATGAATTGTGGTGTGAATCGGCTGCCAGCTGCCATCAATGGCGTTTTTTTCCAAGTTCGAACAGCTCATACAGCTGACGTGTTTTTGACTCGACAAGATCGCACCGAACCTCAAAAAACCATCGATAAGTCTGTAAACAGTCTGCCCCACGCCCCCTCGATGGCCTCCTGCGTACAAGTCAACGCCATCGCCAACACGCGTCTCCTGCCGTTCCTATCTTCACGTGGACGCCTCTCAAAACAAACCTTGCACGGCACCTTCGTGCACGCCATGTTGCTTTGACGGACGCGCACATCATCGGCAGGATTGGCAGGAGAAGGCCATGTTGGTGGTGCCTTTGACTTGTACGCGTGAGGCCATCAAGAAGTGCCGAGAGTGCGTACAAGATGCGCACATCTACATCTGATTGTGAGAATTTCACCACGCCGGTTTTGTTGGTATGCAGGTTTAAAAAAAAAAAATCCGAGTCTAGTGAGTTAGGCTTCTCCCTCCCTCACCTGCTGTCGATGGGCAACCAACAAACCCTCGACGTCCCGAATCTGGTGCTTGAGCCCGTTGTAGCGATCGTACAAGTGACGCATGGGCTCCTTCTCCGCCTTTGTAGGCTGACAACACGACGACGGGACAGAAAGCGTCCAGCACGCAGGGGGCGTGGTCGGGAAGAGGGCGGGACGTACTCTTAATGTTTTGCATGCCTTAGCGGTCAGACCATTGACTACCGCGTCCTCGAGAGGACGGAGAATCGTTCCCACAGGACCGATCACCGATGGCCAATCGCTCCTTCTCCTACTTTGCCAAAGGTGAGTGACTTCAAAATGCTGTCCCCAGCCTATCATCCTACCGATATCACTTCCCGCCTTTGCAGCCCACGCCGGGAAGGGACGGGTGACGTCGGGGGGATAAGAAGGCGGGCAACGAGGGAACAATAGCATGCCGGCTCTCAACGGCACGCGCCTATTCAGCTAGCCGGGGGTCTCTGCTGCCGCCACACACAGCGGCGGCCATTGTACACGTCCCGAAGCAACCTACAAACTCTCGCGCGCCGCCGACCCCCGTCTGGCCTCCGCCTTCTCTCCTCTTGTCCGTGAGTGTTTGGGAACTCGCGAAGCACAACAACCCAAGAATCAGGTGGAGCATTGCTGCAATATAAATATTGATATATCGTGACCTTTGGACGAGTACACGAACGAGTCCACAGGGTCAGTAACACCAAGGAAAAACGATAAAGATGCCCACGACATGGACGACCACCCGAAATATCGAGGAAACAACCAGCGAACCCCCCTCCCCCCGCTCACCAGCCGCCCGGTTCGTCGGAAGAAGGTCATGTCGAAGCTCTTGAGCTGCCCCTTGATGCCTCTCTTCTCCTCCAGCAGGTCCTTAAGCTTCCCGGTCAGGGAGACCCTCACCTCCTCCTCCGCCGCGCTCGCAACGCCATCCTCCCCCCCGCCGCCGGCCGCCGCTTCCCCGCCGGCCGTGGCCACCGCCGCCGCTGCCGGGGCGGCAGCAGCGCGCGCGCTGCTGCTGGTGCTTCCGGTACCGCTGACGGGGCTGAGGGGCGCCGGGGACACCCCCGATGCGGGGAACCCTGCCGCCAACGCCGATCGCGGCGGGGAGGAAACGCCCAGCACCCCGCCGCCGCCCGTCGCCGACCCGCTGCCGGCAACCACGAAGAAGCCGTCCGCCTTGACCGTAGAGCCGGCGACAACGGCGGCGGCGGCGGCAGCAGCGGCCGTCTGGCTGGGGGAAGTCCTTCCTTCGGACGTTGGCGACCGCCCTCCTGCCGTCGTCCCCGCACCGGCTTGCGGGGGAGGAGAAACCGGCCCGCCACCGCCGCCGCCGGCAGCGGCGGCGGCGGTGGTAGCGCCCGACGAGGAGGAGGAGGAAGGGGGTGGCGGCGGCGGGGGCGGCGCTTCTTTTCGGAGCAACCGCGGGACCTCCGGGTGCCGCTTGCGCTCTCTGTAGCCTCGGTACGTCGCCTGAGGGTGTGTGGCAAAACAAGCAGGGATACGGGGGATACAAGAAAAAAAAATGATTGGGGGGAGGCAGGTGGGGCGGGGGGCACAGCAGAGATGGTCGGGGGGGGGGGGG